TGTGTGTGTGTGTGTGTGTGTGTGTGTGTGTGTGTGTGTGTGTGTGTCTCCAACAGAAGTTGAGCCAATAAAATATATTACCTCACCCATCTTGTCTCTCTAATATCCTGGGACCAACATGGCTACACTACTCCTGAAAGCAGACATTTTCTTTGGAAGATTTTGTTTAATTGGAAACCCAATTTTCCACTGAAAAAAAGTTCTGATTAACTCTTAGATCAGCCCTAGTGCTGAGTGCCCTCAGCTCCCATTGAAGTCCAATGGATATCAGAGCACTCAATGCTTTGAGGGACTGGACCCCACATTTTTAGTAATACGTCAGCTGTAAACAGTTGTGAATCTTGGCTTCATTTCTGTCTTGTGTAACTAAATCTCTCAGAAATTAATTTAATTTGCTGCACATCTTACAAAAAATGTTTAAGCAACATTCAAATACTTTAAATAATTCTTATTACTAGTCTGGTTTTTTACTGTACAAACTTCTTTATTGCACCTCAAATTCACATATTTAAAAAGTAAAATATTTTTGTGCCATTTTGAAAAATCTGTACCTGTGTGTTGAAATGTTGCATTTTTGCTGAGTTTTTCCTGCTTTGTTACCACTGAACACATTTTTCCAACTTGGGAGCATAAATCCAGACCCCTAAATCCATAATCAGGCATCTGATTTTTGGAGGTGGAGATCTGTATCTGCAGCGTTATCTGTCCTTACTACTGTTAATATTAACTCTTCAGTATCAGTCATATTGTGCTCTTCCCCTTTATATAGCAATAGCTTAGCCACATCTTTTAAGGATCATTTTAGATATAATTTTATTTGAGATATTGAACTAATGTTGGTGAGATGCAGGTTCAGTCACATACCACTTTGATCTTTGTTTGGTTGAGGTTCCTCCATGCAATACACCTGGAAGCAATCAATGACGTCTCCTTCACTCACAGTCCAATAGATTGCAATTGATGTGCTTGTAGCAGAGTTTGGTTCCTGAGGTAGCAATTTTGGAGTCTGTGGAACTGGAAGATAGACTTTGGTAGTTATTTATACTGCTTATATTGAACCACATCAACTCCAGTTATGCATGTCATGAGGCAACCAGATAGTTTATTTTTCCTTAACTATGAATACTTGAGATGACAGCCAGTTAAGGATTCATTAAAATAAAAAATAGGGGGACTATTTCAATTAACTGACTAAGGACAATAAGGTTGCAATTTTAGGCCAATAAGTTCATATCAATTAGGGATAGGTGAATCAACTGCTAGGACTGAAATTCTGTCTGATTCACTACTCCCATACAATTCCACTGATCTGAGTGGGGTTGGCATAGGTGCAAAGGCTGACAGAATTTAGCCCAATATTTGTCAAATAGTAAAACATTTCAGTGCTATCCAGCTACGTGAATATTCAGCCCATACCCAGCTACCAGTCTCTAATGGTCCATTTTCTCAGCAGCAGCAGCAGTTCCCAGGCTTATGGGTGTTCAGCTAGTTGTTGCTACACGAGTATCAATGAACTCCTCCTCAGACAGCATGCCACAACCAGCAGCATGTGAGCCACTGGCCTACCTCCACCTCTTCCAAACCTTGCATGAGGCACCCAGAGAGACATAATGACAGTTCTTGGTAGGCTCAAGGATTGAAGCCAAACCCTGAGTCCAAGAGGAGCCAGGCACAAGGCTTCCAACACCTGGAAGGGCTAAATACAGATTATCAGGCTAGGCAGAGGCAACAGTTACACCTACAGAGGGGTATGTTTGGATGATATGCATATTTGGAGGCCAGAGTACCATCCAGTTGATAGGACCCCAGATAAAATAATCCTAAACCCAAATATTGAATTGATCACCAAGGCCTAACACGATCAGGTGAAGGCAGGTAAATGTTTTGTTCCCTGAGGTGGTGTAGAGCTTCCTAGCTCTACAGGGGCAGATTTCCCTTTTCTGCACAACGGCATCTAGTCAGGGCCTATGTGTAGAATCAGAACTTCTCAACAGCTAATGATAATATCCCATCTTGTCCATTCTTTTCTTTAAAAACAAAAAAACAAAAAACAAAACTGTCACACAGGTCTACAATCTGTGATGCAGACAATATTATTCCAGCATTACAGGTATGATGTAAATGATGCCCTCATGAGGTTGGGAAAACTACTGCCTATTCCTCAATCCCCATCCCTTAGCCACAGTGGCAGTTCTTAGGAAATCTATCCAATGATTTGCTTCCTTTCAACTAGCTACATGCCTCCTCTTCAGGGAATGGTAAAGTGAGACCTTCCCCACCAACCCAGAGTCCGGTCAGCCTTAGGAGTGCCCGTGTCACTAACTTGCTTTCTCCCAATCTAGATATTAATAGATACAGGCTGCCTCTGTCTGCCCTTCGGTGATATGGGAACCCGCATTCCACCACTGAGTCCAGTGATACCTTTAAAACTTAAAGCTATCAGGTATGTACTGCAGTGTAGTAAAATGTCATGGGCATCATCCCTTCCCCTGCCCTTTCCCCATGAGGCCTATTAACCTTAATAGAAGAGAGTGAGTCCACGTGCTCAGGCATCTACTACTTTGTAGTGCACACTGAGGCATAAATTCTGCTGCTGAAGCCTCAAAGTGCCTCTTATAATTTAAGATGTCAGATCAGAAAGCCCAGCAGGATGGTTACTACTGTGGGTTGCACTGTATTAGAGAGGGAAGCAGGCTGCCTCTTGGGAGAGCCTATTTTTGTGGAACTGGCCTTGCCCTGAACAGAGAGATTATAACAGGACAGCACCTGCTGAACAGGAGACCAACCAAAAAGACAAGTGAAACACTTGTTCATAGGAAATACTACACTAGAGCTAGTTAGTGGGAAGTGGAAACCTACTGAAGAAGGGAGCCAGGTTTCAGAGGCAGGAGTTGGATGTACCCCACTGCTAACCAAGGGCAGAAATAGTTGATAAGATTCCTTGGAATCTAGGAAAAGTACCCGTCATACCATGAAGAGATTGTACAGTCTGTCAATTCTAGAGGGAGAGGTGACAGCTGAGGAATAGGTCTTTAAAAGAAAGGATGTGAACTATGGGAGAGGCCATTGCTCCCAGAGAGGAACAGACTCTGCTTGGACACGATGCTAAGTGGGCTCTGCCCTCCAGGGCTCAGAACTTAACAGCATGGAGAGTGAGAGACTCTTCGGAGTCTCACTATTGTTGAACTGTTCCCTGGATGTCCAGGGATGTTTTGTGGGGAGATAATCCTTTCAGGGGTTAGACATAGAACTCTGCTTGCACTCTGCAAGGCTGCCATACTTTGATTTTGAACCCTATATCATCTGACACCTTGTGACCTGATTGGGGATGCCACAAAGTCCTCTAAGATTTTCACAAACCTCAGATAAGCACCCAAAAGTTTGACTGCTGATCCAAATGGAACCAGCCCTCGTGAGATTGTTATTTTTCAGGATTATGAGTCAATGGAAGACAAAACCATATCTCACCATTAAATAGTCTGATTGCACAGAACAAAAATATACACTGTTTTTTCATTTACCCAGTAAATTTCCATGTTACATGGATTCTATAAAGATCTAAGCAGAAAGCTTTTGCTCTTTTCAGTTATCTTCAGACTAATGATGATGATCACTGTGGCATTAACAAAGTAGATGCTGATGCTAGCTGTTTTCCTGTGATTATACAGAGAGCTACAGTAAGATTACATCTGCCTGTCATTGAAAAATTCATCCCTTTAGTTGCTAACAGCAAACCAGATTTGGGGGGTTTTTTTGCATCTAGAAGAGCCTGTCTTCTAATAGTATCTAGTGAGGAAATTATTGTGGGTTTTCAGTAGAGTTGTATGGAAACCAGAATTCCCATTTAATGGGAAATTATGCAATTTTCAAATTTGTTTCTGTTCCAAATTAGAATGAAAACAAAAAAATTCAAAATTTCCCAAACAATGAACTTCTTTGAAAAATTGTTGTTTCAAGTCAATTAAAACATTTAGTTTGTATTAAATCAAAGTATTTCATTTTAATATCAACTTTATTTTTTATAATATAGAATAAATTTCAAATTGAAAAGTCATTTCAAAACAAAATATTGATATATTCCCTTCAGAAAAGGTTGAAATGGAATGTACTGACATCAAAATGCTTCATGTCACGGCTTTTTTCCTGAAATAAAATGTAATCAAAACTGACAAGTTTCAAGGGAAAGTTTCAATTTCAATGAAATGGCATTTTCCAATGGAAAAATAATCCATCAAAAAAATTTCTACCAGCTCTAGTTTTCAGTGACATGCTGTCGCATAGATCATTTCATCCCAGGATCTACCCCCTCTGCTCACAGGAAAACCAAGACAACCCAAACATATAGCATTCCATGGAGGGGTTTTCACAAGGTCAGTGTAATGGGGAGAATGGTCAGTTTCCCCCTCCTTTCATAGTATCATTGGCAGAAAGTTGCAATCAGTGGAAGTGCTTGAGTCAAACAGTAACCTGGTTTAAACAGCAGTGGCTGGTGGCAGGTTTTTATCAGTGATATGTCCTTGACCTTGGAATTTGTTCCCTCCTTTTCTTCCTGACAGATTTGATTACATTCTGGGTATGCTGCAAGGTTTATCTATGGTCCCAGGCCTTTACTGAGAGAATGGATTAAGTGAAGAGACGAATGGGTGGAGGAGAAAGTTACTGGGTGGGAAGCTCTTGGGGAGAATTTTCTGATGTGGTGGAAAGGCTTTGAAAAAAAAAATCTATTTTTGCTATTTTATCAACCTACAGCACCTGGAAGGGGGGTGGGGGGGAGAGAGAGAGAGAGAGAGAGAGAGAGAGTGTGTGTGTGTGTGTGTGTGTGTGTGTGTAGTGGATGAGAGGACTTCAAAGATCAAGATCTGAGGAAATTTCATTTCAGTGTCAGTGCACTGACAAAGAAGTGGAAGAAGTATGGTCCAGTAGTTATGGCACCTGGGATTGGGAAGAGCCTGGTTCAATTCCCTGCTCTGTCACAGGCTTCCTGTCTGACACTGGGCAAGTCACTTAGCCTCTCTGTGGCTCAGTTCCCCAACTGTAAAATGAGTATAATAGCACTTCCCTACCTCTCAGGGTTATTGAGAGCAGAGCTGGATGAATATATTTTTCCGCTAGTTGGCTGAAAAAACATCAGAGAAAAAAATTAGCTTTGGATTAACCTGAAACAAAAATGTTCTGGTGATTTGAAAAACTCGAAAATATTTAGTTTTGTTTTCAACTGAAAGAGTTTGGTAAATTCAGCATGAATTTGCTAAATTTTCAGTCGACCCGAATGTGTATTTTTTGGCAAATACTCTACTTGCGAAGATAAATAGATAAAGACTGTGAGGCACAGTCACTTCATATAAGTACTTTAAATAGATAGAATAGAATGATGCAGCAGAAGTGAGCAATGCAAAAGTCACAGAAGAGACAGCACAAAAAGGAGGATTAGATAGGAAGAGAAAGGAGCTAGACTGCATAGGGAGCTAAGGGAGAGAGAGCATTAAAAGGTATGGAGGAAAAGAAAAAAAGGAGGAAGAGATGATATCTTCTGATTATATAACAGATTTAGTTTCAAGGGAATGTAGAGATACAGTGCAGAAGAGCAAGGGAAAAGACTATATGGAGGAAAAAGTGAAGGAGAGAAATATAGGAGGGGGCTAGCTGGGTTATTGGGAACTGGAAATGGGAGCTAGAGCCCCTCACTTCTAGTTTGTCAGTGCAAATCCAGCCCTGGTTGGCTGTGCTGTTTGGTTTTGATTGGACACAGTGGTTAAAGCAGATCAAAATAGGAAGGGGAGCTCAGCAACTTTAGGAAGCTAACTGGTTTTTAATCCAAGTGTTTGTGGAAAGCAAACACAAAACAAAGGCAAAGCAAATCTGTTCCATCAATTACCTCCTTGCCATTAGCTGGCAGTCAGAGTGGGAAGGTGGGACTCGCCTGCTGGATTGGAAGGGTCAGTTTATAAACTGAATAATAGCATCAAAGGAAATTTGCTCTAAATCTTTAATAAAAACTGCTAGAGATTTCCTAGTAAGTTACTTTTTTTTAAAAGCTACAGTGGCATGGGGCTATGTTGGGGTAGGGCGCCAGCACTTAGACTGTCACTTGAATACAGAATTGCCTTGATACATCTAAATACATTTAATTTTCTTATTTCTTGAAACAACATTTAAAAATATGTTTTGAAAAGATGAAGAGAATGGTTGGCAGGATGCTGACAGGAGGGAAGCTGAGTAGGTGGCTTGCTGCAAAGAACTATGCTGACTCTGAGCTGTTAGTTCTCAGAAATCATAAAACTGAAGAGAAAGCTAGTAATGGATGAAGCTGATACACCATGGCCAGTAGACAAACATGGCTTGTTTATTCTCTTAACTTCCATGACTGCTGGTCAGATCTGGATGATCTTCATAGGTAAAATTCACACACACATATGGCACAAAGCACAACTAAACAAGCTTTAGTTTAAACTAAACAGGCTTGTGAACTAAGTATGGGCTGGGGAGATGGAATACACCCCATTACCCTCCATAGTCACTGCCCTTGCCTACAGAGCGGGCTGGGTCCAGCTACTGTAGCCACTGCTCCTTCATATTCATATGTGGATAGATTTTCCAGCCACTAGATCCACATAAATACACATCCAGTGGCCTCTTTTTTCAGTCCACCCCCAACTTTTCTCTCCACTCCAGAGGCCTGCTTCCCCAGCAAGGAGGTGGTTTAGAAGCACACCCCGAATGGCTGCCATATTTGTGACCCCACATACATGGGCACCATGGGGCTTCCTCAGCATGGAGAGTGTTACACAGGCTTTATGCCAATATGAGATTTTCATTTTAGAATGGACAGGTATTGTAAAGGGTGATTAGAATTTAGAATAAACAAGACGTTTTAATGTTTCCTCCTGTGCTACCTTTTCCCCTGCCCAGCAATAAACCAAGCACTTGTGCACAATTAGACTTCATTTCAAATTCAGCTCTGATTGCTAATTACACAGGCTCACAACTCTAAACTTTTTTTTTTCAAAGCACATTCTGCTTTTACTTTTCTATAAATTCCAGGGTTTTGTGAAAATGTTTATTTTTCACAGGGTGCACCCATAGATTCTTACCAGCGACACATTTTAAGGTATTCTGGTCACTTCTCACTGAACCGTCTGCATAATGGTCAAAAAGTGAAAATGCACTGGGCATTTTTTCTAACGAGAGAGATTTATCCATTGCAGAAAGTAACCTATTGGGAAGAAAATATATATCCAAATAAATCCCTATAGTATTACATAGCTTCCAAAGCTCAAAGATGAACAACATTTTTCATGCACTGCTCAAAATATTTCCATGGATTTAAGAGCAACAAGCAAAGAGAAGAGAACTTCCTAACCTTGAACGTTAAGTAGGGGGTACAGTGTTTAAAATTAGTTCAAGGATATCTTAGCAGTAAAGATGAACCCAATCTAACTACACAAATCTGTACACTCATGAACTGTGGGAAAGTTTAGATATGAAGTTCTCAGTAAGGCCCTCAAGAATATGGGGTTTAAACTTATTGACATTGTCCCTTTGTATATTTAAAAGCTACAGAAAATTACATCTATCTACAGGAAGCTGACTTCAGAGACAGAATGTAAAGCAGCTGGTTATGAGGAGAAAAAAAGAAAAAGGAAAATGGATTGGACTCAATTATCCCTTATTTGCTTGGTTCATTATAAAAAACAACAACATATTTTTAACTTTGAGGCAAAAGCAGCTCCAAGGAAATGAAAGAATTCTTTCTACAAAGCAGTCAAACAACTCCATTTGTTTTTACACTGAAGTTGTTAGTTGTTCACAGTTTTAACAGGATATACGTAATAAAAAAATAAATTTTCTTTAGAAAGACATGCAGCATTATATAAACCCTTTTCTTAATCTGTTTTAGTAAATCAGATACAATCAATTAAAATAATCTAGTTCATGCACAAAACAAACTAATTTTAATATGTAAGCTAATGCTAGTAAATAACATGCAATAAAAATCCTTGAAAATTATTTTTGCGTAGCCTACTTTTCAATAATCTACAATATACAAGTAATTGGACAGATTGCCACATGTTGGTATATAATTTTAATGTAGTGGGTGTCCCCCAGGGATCTGTACTGGGACCAGTCCTATTCAACATATTCATAAATGATCTGGAAAAAGGGGTAAACAGTGAGGTGGCAAAATTTGCAGAGGATACAAAACTACTCAAGACAGTTAAGTCCCAGGCAGCCTGCGAAGAGCTACAAAAGGATCTCTCAAAATTGAGTCACTGGGCAACAAAATGGCAGATAAAATTCAATGTTGATAAATGCAAAGTAATTCACATTGGAAAACATAATCACAACTATACATATAAAATGATGGAGTCTAAATTAATTGTTACCACTCAAGAAAGAGATCTTGGAATCATTGTGGATAGTTCTCTGAAAACATCCACTCAATATGCAGCGGCAGTCAAAAAAGCGAACAGAACGTTGAGAATCATTAAGAAAGGGATAGATAATAAGGTATAAAATATGATATAGCCTCTACATAAAGCCATGGTACGCGCACATCTTGAATACTGCATGCAGATGTGTTCACCCCATCTCAAAAAAGATATATTGGAATTGGAAAAGATTCAGAAAAGGGCAACAAAAATGATTAGGGGTGTGGAATGGCTTCCATATGAGGAGAGATTAATAAGACTGGGACTTTTCAGCTTGGAAAAGAGACGACTAATGGGGGATATGATTGAGGTCTATAAAATCATGATTGGTGTGAAGAAAGTAGATAAAGAAGTGTTATTTACTTCTTCCCATAACACAAGAACTAGGGGCCACCAAATGAAACTAATAGGCAGCAGGTTTAAAAGAAACAAAAGCAAGTATTTTTCCCACACAAGGTACAGCCAACCTGTGGAACTCCTTGCCAGAGGATGTTGTGAAGGCCAAGACTATAACAGGGTTCAAAAAAGAATTAGATAAGTTCATCGATGGCTATCAGCCAGGATGGGCAGGGATGGTGTCCATAGCCTGTTTTTGCCAGAAGCTGGGAATAAATGACTGGGAATGGATCACTTGATGACACTTGTTCATTCCCTCTGGGGCACCTAGCATTGGCCACTGTCGGAAGACAGGAAACTGGGATAGATGAACCTTTGGTCTGACCCAGTATGGCCGTTCTTATGCCACATGATTTCATAGCACAAATCCCATGAATAATGAGAAATGTGAAAGGATGTTTTGAGCATCACTTAAAAAAAATAACCCCTTACTCACATATAGAAATTTCCAATTTGATATTTCTTATAATAAAAACTTACTATTTTACAGTCTGTCCCTGAATTGGCCACATATGATTTACCTAGGCCCCAGTCCAGCTGAACACTTTAAGCACATGCATACCTTTAAGTGCATGACTAAGTACCATTGACTTCAGTGTTGATAAATCATATGGGATGCATATCAGTACATAACTCCGGTTTAAGTCAATAAGTGAAATCCTGGCCCCACTTCAAGAGGAGTTTTGCCATTGACTTCAGTGGGGCCAGGATTTCACTCCATAACAGTGTTGTGCACAAAAGGGCTGCGGGTTCAGGCTTTATGAATAATAAGAGATAACTTGTGCAGATTTTAGCAGATGGCAAATGATTTAAGATTAAATTCTCTCTCATCAGGATGAGTCCCACTAAACGGAACCCTCAGTGGCAAATCAGATGGGGAATAAGGGTTTGATTATGGGTTTGGGGGTTTTGTTGGTGTGTGTGTTTGGGGAGGGGGGGAGGATACAAACACAGATGAAATAGTCAAATTCAAACTTCACTACAGTTGCAACCATTTATACTAGCTCTGAATTTATCCCAGCAGTTCCACCCATATAAGTGACATGTTGGATGATTTTCATTAAGATTTCATCTCATATGGAAATGACACTAGTAAAATATGAACACTTCAAAACAGGGTATTTAAGGCAGAAATCTAAGCATCATCAGAATGTTCTTATATAATTACAAGCAGCAGCTATTTAAGAATGGCTACGCAGAATATTCCAAGTGATCTGACATTTAAAAAAAGCTATATTTATTATTATTTAAATTATGAATTATAAAACACATGCAAAACCCTTCAAAAGCTGTCAGCTACAGTAACAAGTGTAAGATTTCTTCCCAGACTATTATTTGTGGTGTTTTTAAAAGCAGATATTTATACTGGAAGCATGCTTTCAAGAAAGTATTAAATAAAGCAGCCAAACATGCTAATCCTAATATTCACTACAATGCACCTAAACCACATTTCATATACCTTTTATTCATTTCTTTAGATAACTAATAGAGAAAGGGGAAAAGAATGTATTAACAATAAAAAACAGAAGTCAACATAATATTAAAGCAAGTAATTTAAAGACTGAGTCTGCTCTTTTCTGTTGATGTAAATAAGCACCACTTCATGAACTTCACTGGAAATTTTCCCATACGCACCAGCAGAGAATTTAGGTCTCCAAGTATTTTCCCCTCTTTAAGGCCATGAATGACTCAGCATGTTACCTAAGCATCTGCCTAGCTTTAAGCACGATTAGTCAGCACAAGGCTTAATTACTTTGCTGAAACAAGTGGTAAGTTACGTTTACAGGAGGAGATATCATTTCTACATTAAAACATTAGGGTCCAAATTCCAAGACCAAAATTGCCTCCACATTGCTGACCCTTAGAAGCTCCATGACCTTTACACCAGTTGAGCTGGGAATACTCCCATGTCATGGGAATCCTCAGCTGCCTCTTTAGCAGCACAAAGAGGACACGGAACAGATCAGGATTAACCCTCCATTCCTTATAGAAAGGGCCAGAGGATATCAGCATTGCCAGTCTTAAGAGATCAAAAATCATGAGTTAAAGACCCCCAAAATTAAGAGATTAGCCCCCCAAATCATGCCTTTTTTAAATAAAATAAAAAAAAAAGACTATTTTGTGTGTGTGTGTGTGGGGGGGGGGGGGTAGCCTTTTTGTCTCACTTACATGCCTGCCCATCCCCTGCCCAGCAATTAATTCTGCCCCATCCAGCCCCCAACCCCATCAGCTTAGCCCCCAGCCCTCACCAGTTCAGCCCCCCAAGTTCACTCCCCCCAGCTCCCAAACCCTCAGCTTTCCCCCCACCTCAGTTCAGCCTCCCCAACCCCCATCCCCTCAGTCCTACTCCACAGCTACATCTCTGCTCCTCCTAAGCTTCTTCGCACCCCTTCCCAGGTCTAGGGGGACTGCAGTGGGTCCCTTATCCCCCTTCCAGGCCAGGGGAGAAGCACTTGGGGCTGTTCACAGGAGGAGGGAATGGAGTCACCCTGAGCTGCTGCACTCGTTGGGCATGTCTACACAGCAAAGAAAAACCCGCAGTTGGCTTGTGCCACCCAGCTCAGGCTCATGGGGCTCGGGCTGTGGGGCTATTTCATTGCTGTGTAGACTTCTGGACTTGGGCTGAAGCCCAAATACTGGAGCCCTCCCACCCTGCAGGATCCTAGAGCCTGGTTTGCAGTTCAAGTCCAGAGGTCTATACAGCCATGAAACAGCCCTGCAGCCCGAGTCAGCTGGCATGGACCAGTCATGGGTTTTTCTTTCCCATGTAGACTTACCCTTAAGCTCCCTCCCCGCCTGCTATGAGAATGGCTTCAGGATGTTGTGGGGAGGGGAGGAGAGGGCTCTGCCTGTAGCAGATGACTGGTTATTCTGCCTTATGGGCAGACAAGTGAGGCCAGCAACTAATCAGGGAGCGCCAATTCACTAGAGAGCTGGAGCCTCTTGCATTATTGAGAGACTGGGTCCAGCCCCAGCCAAAATCATGTAACTGTAATCTTTAACAACCACACATAGTTAGGGGCCCATTTTTACATCTGACCTGAGACGTGGCATATCCAGTGGCACATGCCCCCCAGATATTGTGATGGGCATTGAGTCAGTACTGACACAGAGGGGGAAGTGCCACTCACTGAGTCACTGACAATTCTTGCAGCAACTGTGCATTCCTATGGGCATAGATTTTGGCCAGGGATTCCTGCATCTAACCCACAAAACATTTAGAGACTGTAAGTAATGGAGAATTTACCACAACCCTTGGTAATCTGTTCCAATGATTAGTTCCCCTGACTGTTAAAAATGTCAGTCTTTTTTTCCGGTTTGGACTCTTCCGACTTCAATTACCATTTCCATTTTCTTCCAATTTCTTGTTACACCATCATTTGCTGTAATAAAGAATCCTCTCATAACAGATATCTTCTCTCTGCTAATTATAGATTGTGACTGAGTCATTTCCTAACCTGCTCTTCAATAGGCTAAATAGACTGAGTTCCTTTAGTGTCTCACTGTGAGGCATGTTTTCCACATGACAGATCATTCTTTGATCTCTTCTCTGAACCTTCACATGACCCAGCAGTTCCAGACTGGTGTATCTGAGATTTCAGAATTAATTTACCTCAGAAGACAAAGTAGGTCTTAGGATATTATATCAAATGCCATATGTGACTAATATCATTAAGGTTTCTGTTATGAATGTAATTCATACTTACATTTAGGAAAACAACATAACCAAGTTCTTCAGTTTCTGTTACAGTTGTCTCTAAGGTTTCCTTCGCCGTAACAATACTTTGCTGAAAGTTAACCATCTGTTCATACAAGTATTCCATTTTCATCTTCTTCACCTCCTCAAAGTTCTGGGACATCTCATCACACTGGGCTATCACTGTCTTAACCATCTCTTCATTTTGGTCTTCTAAAAACTGCTCATTTTTCTTACTGTTTTCCTGGAAAATAAAACATGAAAATCTGAGAAGTAAAACTACATCAGTGAATGAATATACATAAAACTCTCTAAATTATGTAACACCAGCTATTAGTCAGGCAGCCTTTGGCATCCTTACAAAAAGACGTATGTAATTATCTAAGCAAGTTCACGTATAAGAAATATCATTAGGTAAATACTTTAAAAACAATGGCCAATATTTTCAAACTTGAGTGCCTAAAGTTAAGGTTTCTATAGTTAGGCACTTAAATAAGAAGCCTTATTTTCAAAGCAGCTGGACATCCAAATTTCCTATTGAAATCAACATAGGCTACAGGTACTAAGCACGTCTGGACATCAAACCACTCATTTAGATGCCCAAACATGAATTTAGGTGCCTAACTTTAGGTATCCAACATTTGAAAATGTTGATCCATGTAAAAGTTTAAAAATTAAACAAAACAGATTGAAAGTGCTATCACAATCATTTCCCCATCCAGTGGGGAATATTCCACATAGTGTTCACTGTGCAGCAGCGCTGTATAGTAAAGGAACTATATATTTTTCTCAGTCACTCATAGTAAGGAAACTTTGTTTAAGGACTAGTGAAACAGACAATTCCTGTGAAAATGATAACATGAAACTACAAAACAGTATAAAATATCTTAAAAGGACTGCCAATATTGAAGGAGGAAAGAAAACAGGAGTAGTGTAGATATTAGACTTACCTCAACAGAATTAAACAGGGATTCTATTTCACTAACCAACTCCTCCAACTTCACTGACCTTTGCTGTAACTCTCCTAGAAATTCGTCTAATTGATCCTGAAATAAAAAAGTGGCAGCAATTTTCTAAATATGATGCTTGGGAAATACTGCTTTATAAAGCTTTCACATTAAAAATATATGTAATGTTTCACCTCTAGATGTTATTAGAACAATTGTTAAAATTAATTTCATAGCTTCACCATGACTAGAAAGGCAAGCACAGGAATAGTGGTTGGAAAAGGTAGAATACCAAATTCAAAGAAGAAATAACAATTGATCCTTCAAGGTGCTTATGTGAGCTGTTTCACACCCTCCATTCTCACTGGCTGTGTGGGAATTTGAGGGCGCTCAGCACAGCACAGGAATGCTCCAGAGACTGCAGGATCAGGCCCACAATGAGAAGAGAACACAAGTAATTGTTACGGGCTAGCCTATGCAATAAAGTATCTAGGAAACTAAACATAAATATAGATGTTCCTGAGGTTCACTTTTAAATATTTTAAATAAATATACACAATTTAAACTATCTATGTATTGTACACTGAAGGTCTGAACTTGCATTCCGTTTGCACCCAAAACTCCCATCAAAGTCACTGGTTGTTTTAGATATGCAAGCAATACAGAATAAGGCTCTAGGAACAATAAAGACAACATTGACCGGATATTATAATAATAATAGAGCTGTCTCTCTATGCAGCAGTCCTTCTTGACCTTCCTTGAGAGAGCTGGCCATCTGCTCATATGCAATTTATATTTCATAAGTGCACTCGGTTTTAATCAATTTGTATACTTCTGAATGGAAGGTTAGAGGAAGGTTGGTAGCAAACTTCCACATCCAAAATATGTTTGAAAAATACCACACGTGACCTCTGAATTATAAATATATTCTATTGTAAAATTTAATGTTAAATTGATAAATATTTAGGATTGATCACTTTGAGATCCCAATGTGGAATTCTGTTTGTGAAGATAATGGCTCTGTCAGTTTTTATAGGTTAACAGATCATTTCACTTAACATGAATTTCTGCTCTAATGCCAAAAGCTGAGAAGGTGAGCATTGTGTTGTCTTCTTATTTCTTTAGCAATTATATCTGTGTGAGTAGCAAGAACTACACATAGACAATCTAAGAGTAACATGAGCTTTGGCTGGTAGAAATCATGTGAAGTCAGACATGTGTTGTGGCCAGATTTAATTACTGGCTGTATCTCCAAGTTCCACAGCCAGGGAATTACATCAGGGGACATATCCATCTCTGGAGTAACTCCACTGACTTCAGTGCAACTACACCAGGGAAGACTTCAGACCTGTGACTTTATTAGTGACATTTTGGCAGCTGATCATAATTCACAGCCAAAGCAGGAACTGCCGTAGATAAAAAGTGATAAAATGTAGTACATGCACAGACCAGAGAAAAAGAAAAATTATCAGTTGGAAAATTTGGTAAATATTTATATTTGAGGGCAGTATTTCATCATCTTATAATTTTTTATTCTTACTTTTGAATTAGTGTTATAATATACTAGTGCAACAGAACACATGCCAGAGATCCACTTTCAGGCCAAATTCAAGGGTGAAATGTCTACATTTAATGTTAGTAAACCATTCTGGTTTTAACAGTTAGTAAGAGAGTGAAAGTAACTGTCATAACTATAAAGGGAAGGGTGGCTGCTCTCCTGTGTACAGTGCTATGGAATCCCTCCTGGCCAGAAACTCCAAAATCCTTTTACCTGTAAAGGGTTAAGAAGCTCGGGTAACCTGGCTGACACCTGACCCTAAGGACCAATAAGGGGACAAGATACTTTCAAATCTTGGGGGGGGGAAAGGCTTTTGTTTTGTGTCCTTTGTTAAGGGTTGTTCGCTCTTGGGACTGAGAGGGACCAGACATCAATCCAGGTTCTCCCCATCTTTCTAAACAAGTCTCTCCTATTTCAAACTTGTAAGTAAAAAGCCAGGCAAGGCGTCTTAGATTTACTTTGTTTTCTCAACTTGTAAATGTACCTTTTACCAGAGGTTTATCTTTGTTTGCTGTACTTTGAACCTAAGACAGAGGGGGGTCCTCTGAGCTCTTTAAGTTTGATTACCCTGTAAAGTTATTTTCCATACTGATTTTACAGAGATGATTTTTACCTTTTTCTTTAATTAAAAGCCTTCTTTTTTAAGAACCAGATTAATTTCTCCTTGTTTTAAGATCCAAGGGGGTTTGGATCTGTGTTCACCAGGGAATTGGTGAAAGGTTTCTCAAGGCTTCCCAGGGAAGGAATTCTTGAGATGGTGGCAGCGGACCAGAGCTAAGCTGGTAGATAAGCTTAGAAGTTTTCATGCAGGCCCCTACATTTGTACCTTAAAGTTCAAAGTGGGGATACAGCCTTGACAGTAACTTACATGCAAAGAGGCCAGAATGAGATGCAAAAAGGTGCAAGTTAAAGGTGAAATCAATAGGGAATTCCGCTTAAAAACTGATGCAACATGGCTCAGCATTTTTAATAAAGTTCCAATTGCAAAATGGTTATTACTGGTGACTGTGCACAATCCAGAAAACACAGCATGACTTTCAGACGCTGGATTCAGATTGCAGAGCTGGTAACTAGAAAAGGAATACCTTTTGACAGGTAAACTGAGCAAATTGGATATGGAATAAATGAGATCATAAAGATTAGACCTCATAATACCATTTTTACAGTCACTTTTCAGAGCCGAACTGCAATTAAACATAGACAAGTTTCTAGAGAAGTGAAAAGTGTTTTCACAAGTATTTATATTGCAGGCATATTTGGATGTATTCATTATACATAGTATATTAATTAATGTATACCTATCATAATACTAAATTGTAAGCTGGCAAGAATAGTCGTGCTAGAATTATGGATGAGGTGAATTTTAATTTCATACCCTTATTTTTGAGTTTGTGTCAACCTTTTATATTGGATAGATCTGACAATTGCTATCCTAGAGTCTGGCCGCAAATTTTTTAAAACATCAACAATGGTGCACATTTAGGCACCAGATCAGGCACTTCTCTCCCCTCCGCTGAAGACAATAAGAGCTCCTCTGCACTACCTACAACCAAATGAAGGAAACTGATTAAAAAACATGAGTCTAATGTGTAGTGAAAGGTAAGATTTTAGCCATGTTTTGTAACCAGGCTAAAGCCTTTGTCTGACCTTTGTACTTAAACTGGACTGCTAACAATCTTGTGACAATGTCAGTGCAAGCATATAGAGGTTACTCTACAATGTCAAAGTGAAATGAACCAGTGTTTCTAAAGTTATGCCTCTCCACATGCCAAAAAACTCCACCTATATTAAGGATGACGCCAGGGGTGAAAGTAAGTTTTAGGCCACTTACCGGTACGGGCAGAAGGGGCGGCGCTGGGGAGAGTCAGCATTCCCCAACCAGCCCTTTCAGGCCGCCTGGCCCACGCCGCCCGGGGCTCCCGTATTGATTTAAAGGGCCCGGGGCTCCAGACACCACTGCTGCGCTAGCGGCAGCAGTGTCTGGAGCCCAGGGCCCTTTTAAATCGCCGGCCCCAGGGCAACTGCTCCCTTTGCTCCCCCCCCCCCGCCTGTTGGAGGCTGTGGGGGACGGGGGGAAATGGGGCACGGACATTAAAGCACTGCAGGGCCCTTTGCCGCGGCGGGGGTGGGGCAGGAACATTAAAGCACTGCCGCAGCAAAGGACCGTCCTTAAAGCGCTGCCGCGGCAGTGCTTTAATGTCCCTGCCCCTTTTGCCCCCCGTCGGCGGCCCTGCCAGTACGGACCCTACCAGCAGGGCCGCTGGCAAGGGAAGGGGCAGCAATGTTAAAGCTTTGCCGCGGCAGCGCTTTAACATTAATAACTCCCACCTTCCAGTGGATTAGGAGCCAGTGCTGCTCACGGAGCACAAGGGTGATGTGTTCATGTTGGCCCAACCCAAGAGGTGAGCACTGCATGTATGTTCAGCACTAGCTGAAGCTTCTGAATGCAAGTGTAGCTGAAGGTAGTTGGGCCCAAACTTTTTACTAAGGCAATCCACCTACATTATATCTTTTTTTGCAACCCACCCAGGGTCCACATTGGGGGAGGAAGGGGCAGAATCATAATCCAGCATCCTTCTCCTCTGCTACCACCTTCTCTTCCTTGTCCTGTGAAGGGGCCACTGACTATCCTCAGCAGTTTCCTCCCACCCCAGCACCACAACCCTAGTCCTGGCCCACGGCAGAAGAGAGGCCGGAGGCGGGCAGGAGGGGAAAGGATGCCAACCCCACAAGGGCTGCTCCTGTCCTGCAGGGCTGGGCCCACTCCCCACTCTGTGACCCTGGCACATGACCAGGGTCACATCGCCTCTCAAGGTTTGGCCTCAGAAGGTAGGAAGCCAGGCCCAGCCCCATGGGACAGGAGCTGCTGCTGCGGGATAAGTGTGGGGTGTGCTTAGTCTCCAACTCCCCCTCCTCCCCAGCGCCTCACTCCACACTGGGCCCATGACCCATCCACAACCTTTCCATGACCCACCATTTAGGAAACATTGGTATAAAGAAAGTGCATTGTAATAATCCAGCCCAAGGATGACTAAAGCATTGACAATTATAGCAAAAGGAAAAGTTCCTGTTAACAGATAGTATATATAGAAACTGAAAACCAAAATACTTGCATTCTTTCTGCTGAATCTGGAGCAGTCTCCAACTAATAATTTCCAATCCCAAATTTGGGCTAAGGTTAAAGTTGAAAGATTCATATTTTAAACTACATAGTCAATCAAGTATCAGAGGGGTAGCCGTGTTAGTCTGGATCTGTAAAAAGCAACAAAGAGTCCTGTGGCACCTTATAGACTAACAGACGTATTGGAGCATAAGCTTCCGTTAACATAAATTCTTACCTTCATATCCATTACAGCAGTGTCCAGTGTTGTCACATCATGGCCTTCATGCTCCCCAAAAAGCTTGTCAATAGCAGAAATTGGGCACCTGCACTGGCAGCAATAAGTATCAACATGGACCTTCTGAATTTCTTTTTGTTGACTCTCACTTTCAGATATGTCGAGTGATGATTTTTCAGAATTCATCATCACAAAGCCTGAATCCTCATGTTCAATGGGTGTCTCTTGCTCTGCCTCGTTTACAGATTCATAAGTATGGCTAATCGGCTCAAACGATTCCCTGTCTTCAAACAATAAATCTTCATGTGCCAATTCAGAGGATATTTCATCTTGCAAAAGTTCTTCTTGGGTAATCACTTCATAATCCATTGACTCAGCAAGATGTTCATCAGTCTCCAAGCACTGCTCCTCTCTTGTTGAATCTGATGAAAGGTTATCAAAATCAAGTCTAAAGGGCTGTAAGTCTAAATCACCTGATGCCTTATCAAACTTTACTCCAGGTTCTGGAAGGCCAGTCTTAGCTACTTCTAGGTTATGCTTTGCTATATCGTTGGCAATATTTTCTCTGACTCTTTTTTCAATTGTCTGCTCACTTGTATCCAATAGATATTTTTCCCTGTTGTTCACACTTTCAAAACGATCATGGTCTAAATCATATGCCTCTTTTGTCATGGGTTGAAGGTGATTATCCAAATATGAAATTAATTGCTCTGGTTGCTGAGAAGTACGAACATATTGATTGCTTTCACTTTCATCAACAGGTGGTCTTCCATGAGGCATGTAATTATCCATTTTATTAACTGCTGCTATTTCATGTTGTTCTTTCCGCTCATCTGTTTGAGGAGTTACTGTCTTTGATTTATCTTGCACAGATGCTTCTTTTTGGTTGGCAATTACCTCAGAATCTAGTACTTGACTGGACTCTTCATGACTCATTTGCTCTGACAATTCCTGGTGTGTTGCTGCAGGTGCATTTTCTTCCTCTCTTTGACTAGAGGGATCATTTCTTGCATCTGAAACATTAAGCTTGCTTCCAAAAGGAACTGCCTGAGTTGGTTGACAAATTGTTACTTTAATATCACTAATAAACGGGATTCTCTCTCCCTCCACAATTTCCCCTTCTGACAAGACCTGGGTTTTGGTGGATTCTTCAGATAAAATATGAACAGATTGCTGCTCCTTTTCAATTACCTCATAAAAATCCTTATGTTTGTCTCCTGAAACCCTCAGTTGGCCTGACAGGTCTTTATTAATAGACTGAGCTTTTGAAACTTCATCTTTTTGAGACCCAGCCACGTTGCAAGGAATATCGTCTTTAAGAATGTATTTTTCAAAATATATTCCAGTTTCATCGTCTGTGTCAGAATTTCTAGGAAAAGATGCATCAGAATTCCCACTCTCTTCATCAGAAGGAGGCTCATTTTCACCTTTTGCATTTTCTCCCACTGCTTCTGCATAGAGGTCCTTGTATAAAAATGCCAGTGCAGGTGGCTCCTCTAGAAGTTCTGGGTTAATCGCGCTGACTGATGTGGGAAACAACATGGATCGTTCTAACACTCCTTCTTCTGTATCAAATAAGGGTGTGCCTGCTAACTTTTGTTCATCTTCTATATTTATCACTTTTTTACTACAGTCAATTGATTTTTGCATAGTCAAAAATTTCTGAGCATCTGCATGAGACTGCATCTTGCTTTCTTGTTCTGTCATTCCATAAAAGGCTTCATCTAAGTCATTATCTAGTAAAGTAAATTCACCTTCCAAAGTATTAACATCAGAACTTCCAGTTGAAGAGATGGTTTCGTCTGTATGTTTCTTAGGGTTTGCCATTACAGCATCAAAGGGAGATAGCCCCCAAACAGATAGTTCAGTGGGGGATTTGTCATCAATCAGAGTATACTTTTCAAAATAATCCATCTCAATGGTACTCTCGTTAGGATTCAAAACTTCGCCACTTTTATTTTCTGACACAGTGGAAATTTCCTCCTCTGTTTCTACAATTTCCTGAGCATCTACTTCTTCAACCAATTCTTTTTGTTCCATATCTTTAACTCCGGTGTCATCTGCCACTGAGTTTTCTGAAATTTCTCTAGCTGTTCCATATGCTGACGCTTCATGGTCACCACATTCAAACGGTTTTGTTTTAATGAGGGTATTTGTTTCTAAGTATTCTAGTTTATCTGGCATGTGTTTGCTTTCTTCTTCATCCACTGAAGAAATGAGTGGGACAGCATGAATATTCAATATCTCATAGCCTTCTGAAATTATATTAAACATATCTTTTTGTTCATCAGGTTCTGGAGTATATTTGGATTCTTCTGCTAAGTTCACATGTTCTGTTAATTTCTCTTCTCTTGGTAGATAATGTTCAGGCTCTTTTGACCCTGCTTCTACATTTGAAAAATGCTGTATTTCTTCTGCTGTTGAAAGGTCTCCAATGCTAGTTACTGTTACATTATTTACATTTTTATCTGAGACTGGATTACCTGGTAGTGAGGAGTATAAATTATGTGTGTGGATTTCATTAATGGGCTCTGATAGGAGATTACGGGAAGCTTCATTTGAAACAAAATCAGATACCATTGTCATGTCTGATTTATTCTCATTAGTACTTTGGGCTGTTCGTGCTGTCTGAAGTCTACCTGGAAATTGTTTTGATTCAAAGTATTTAGCTTCATTTGGAAAAGACTGAATTTCTTGCTTGTCTGCTTCGTTATTATTTGTAGGATCAACTGAGCCAGTTTTTGACTCTTCTGACAACAAAGCAGTTTCCTCAAAAGCATAAGCTTGAATTTCTAGTTTCTCTGTTTCATTAAAAGGCCTAACCAAGGTGGTTTTTAACTGTGATGATGGGAAACTGTCTGCTTCAGCTGAATAAGACGACTGATTTTCTTGCATCCCGGTTTCATCAATAAAGTCTGATGAAACAGCCATTGATTGTTCAGATGAAGTATATTGTATGTCAGGCAAAGAAGAATCAATATCATGCGTCTCTTCTTCATTAATGGAACCAGCTGAAAAGTTCAACACTTCTGAAACCAAGTCTGGCACTTCATGTGCATCAGGTTGTATTTCTTGCTTATCACTTTCAGCAATGAAGATGGGAGAAGGAGCTGTTAACTGTGCTGACAGCAAGTATTCTGTGCCCAGTGAATAAGCTTGAAGTTCTTGCCCATCTCTGTCATCAGTATGCATTAGTGACATAGTGACTAACTGTTCAGACATCAAGTTTTCTATTTTAGGTGAATGTAGCTGAATTTCTCGCATCTCTGCTTCATCAGTGTCATATGATGAAAGTAAAGAGTGACACTTTGATTTTGCAGGGTTGGGTCTATATGGCTGAATGTCTTTCTTCTCTTCATCATCAATAGAATGTGACAAAACTAAATGTTTAGGCATAGATTGTGCAGCTACAGGTGAAGAAGACTGAATTTCTTGGGGAATTACTTCATCCACTGAATAATATGAAAGTGAATGTTCAGGCTCCATTCCTGCAGGTACATGTGAATAACATTGACTTTCTCGGGTTTCTGTATCTCCAATAGGATATGATAAAATTAAATGACCAGATTCCAATTGTGGAGTTGTGGGTGAATAATGCTCAATTTCTTCACTCCCTGTTTCAGATAAAACTAGATGTTCAGACTCGAATTGTGCAGGTACAAGTAAATATGGCTGAATTTCTTCATTCTCTGCTTCATCAATGGAATATGACAAATCTGAAAGCTCAGACTCAGGTTCTGCAGTTACTTGTGAATAATACTGACTTTCTTGTGTTTCTGTTTCATCAACAGGATATGATAAATCTACATTTTCGAACTCCTGTTGTTCAACTGCAGGTGAATAAGACTCTTGCTCTTCTGCTTCTTCAATGGAATAGAATAGATCTGAATGTTCAGACTCTGACTGAGCAGTTATGGGAGTGTTGGGCTGGATATCTTGCTGGTCTGAATGTTCAGACTCCAATTGCTCTCTCTCTTGTTTCTCTGTTTCACAAGTAGAATATGATATATCTAGTTGTTCAGATTCCAGTTGTGCAGTTACAGGCGAATAAGGATGAATTTCTTGCTTTTCTGCTTCCTCGATGGAATATGATAAATCTGGATGTTCACATTCGGATTGTGCAGTTATGGGTGGATAAGGTTTAAAATCACGCTTTTTTATTTCAGATAAAACTGAATGTTCAGGCTCCAACTGTGTAGTCACAGGTGAATAAAACTGAATTTCTTGCTTCTCTGTTTCCTTGCCAGTATGTGATGAACTAGAACGTTCAGAGACAGATTCTGTAGATAGAGACACATACGGTTGAGTTGCTTGCCCCTCTGGTTCATTAATACAATCTGTAGAAATGGTCTTTGTGGTCAAAAATGAATTAGGCTGAATTTCCTGGTTCTCTCCTTCATCAATAAGAGATGGGGTAATGGACAGTGGCTGTTCTGAGATTACATTTGCAGTCTCAGGAGGAAAGGGCTGTATTTCTTCTTTCTCTGCTATATCCATAAGATCTGATGGCTCGGCTATTGACCATTCTGATATTGATGTCAAGGGCATGGGTGAACTTGTGTGGATTTCCTGCTTCTCTTCTTCCTCAGTAAGGTATGAGGAAAAAGACAGTGACTGTTCTGATGTCTCATGTAGAGTCTCAGCTGGAGAAGACCGTGTCTCTTTTCTCTCTTCTTTATCAAGAGGAACTGTTACACCCGCATTTGAAAAACTGCTAGATTCAATATTCGTTTTGACATGTTTTATATTATGAAGTGAACGATCATCCCCATCAGCGCAATCCTTTTCAAGATGCACCAAAGAAGGCGAGGAAAGGCTTTGATTTAGGAATCCTTTGTGCTGTTGTTTCTGCTTCCTTTTTATATCTGATGGCGTAGCTGGATCTTTACTACCCTTCTTTTGGAAAAATTTTGGCGTTTCTTCTTCTGAAATTGAACTGAACTTCTTGATTTTAGCTCTTACAGCTCCATTAAGGGCTGGCCTTCCTTTTTTCAGTTTATTTTCTTTACCCATGGACTTTGTGGCAATTGGAGCATGTGACACTGGTTCCCCTGTAATGTCTAGCAAATCCTCTTTATCTTTTGAGGTTTCTGCATCCATAGCTTGTGCTTCCAGTTCAGCAGCATTTAACTTAGCATCCTGCACTTTTGCGGGAGCATCTCTTAATTCTTGCATCTGCATTCCGGACAAGTCACTCTTTTTGCTACCCTGGCCTCCCTTCAAGTCTGATGTCCTATCTGATGATTTACACATCCTTTTCCGGACAGTCTTACCTTCATCCATGAGAAAGATAACTTTCCCTGGGGGAGAATCTACAGATGAACTTTCAACACTACAAAGATCAGAAGTAGCACTTGCTTCTGAGGCCCAAGGAGTGGAACATCTGCTTGAGCTGGTTTCCCATGTTATTCCACTATCTTCACTTTGAACTGTTACCATAGAAAAGGAAGGGTTGGACATGATGCATTGTAGCTTGGGTTTCACATCTTCATTCTGGATAATGTCCTTTAAACTACAATAATAAATAAATAAAAGTATGGTAGGATCATTTATTATAAAAAAATCAATTACAGTAAAATCAAACATACCTAAGGAAAACTATTTTTCAGATTTGTTTAAGTACTGTAATAAATATAGGCATAAATAATGTAACATTTTGTCTGACAAATATACTGTTGGCATTGGTAACGTTGTATGTTGTAAGATTGTATAAAGACACTAAGGGCTTCAAATTTTATCTCACGTATGCCAGCGTGAGGTCAGAATCTGGCTTTAAAACGTAAAGGAAGCTTAACGTTCAGCAAAAATCTAAGCATTAAACAAATCAGCAATATCACTAAAGATCTAAGGCCTGATTCTCCAATGCCTGATACCTTGTGGAGTCATTTAAACCTGTACTATGTTGGTGTAAATGCTGACACTGATTTGGTAGCATTTTACACCTACTTTGCACAGATGTAAATGACTAATTCAAAGCACAAGGCAGTAGAATCATAGAATATCAGGGTTGGAAGGGACCTCAGGAGGTCATCTAGTCCAACCCCCTGCTCAAAGCAGGACCAATCCCCAACTAGTAGAGATTCAGGCCCATAGTTTATTGCTACCTCTTAGTTCTCTTCATCTTCCAACTTTATGAACTTTAATTTAGGTCAATTCTGTGTACAAGGGTGTTACAAATAATAAAAATATTCCTCCAAAATCATGGGTTTATCTGAGTAAGTCCTCTAACATACCAATATATGATTACCCATGATTTTATTAAGAAACGTAAAATATTTATGGTACATAAAATTCCAATAGCTATCATTTCTATCAGTGATTTAAGTATATTGTTTCAGGAAAAACCTACAGAACCATTTAGCCCTCCAGCTTTATAAACTACAGCAGCAAAAAAGGTTAAAACGATTAAATAATTAAGGATGAAGTCACAAACTTATTTCAGTAAAGAAATTTGAATAGTAATATGGAGAAAATAGAAAAGACTAATAGCAAATGTTCAACCCTCTACATTTCTTCAGTACCCAATACCTTAAAAATTTCCATCGAGAAAAGCAAACCACAGAGAAGGCAGAAGATGTCATCCATTAGCCATCTTGCTATGGAAAAGACCTTAAGAAGCCCTGTAACCTACCTAGCAACTGACTGAAGGAAAACTGCCCGTGTCACCAGCCCCATCTGATTGAGTACAAAGAAGAGCTCAGAAGAAGAGCTCTGCGTATGCTCAAAAGCTTGTCTCTCTCACCAACAGAAGTTGGTCCAATAAAAGATAACACACCCACTGAAGCAATTACGAACTCTCAAAGCCTACTTCATGGGATGAGGCAAACTTGCAACTGAAAAATCCTAGTTCCACTAAATAGAGGGAGATAGTCATGCTTTGAACTACCTTTATCTGGCTAATACAATGTAATTACACAGATAGGAATGAAGAGCTAACCTGTGATATATGAGACTCAAGGATCAGAGCCAGGCGAACTCATTGTGTTAGTGGACACAAGAAGGAGGCTGAGCAGCACTGAGTGTGAGTGAGATATATGGGAAGCTGAAAGCCTCTGCCTTCTTCCCTGAACCATCAGGTGCAGTTAGTATTGGGTCTTTGGGGAATGAGCCCAGCGAGGGATTTCCATAGGACACTTCCTGTAAACTCCTCCTGGCTGCTGCTGATTTTGTTCCCCATTTAGTAAGGAAAAAGGGAGACCAGGGGGCCAGACTTGCCTCCACTGCTTTCACAAGTGCTGGGTATTTTGAGGAAGGAGCCCCCAGATGTCAAAGGATTTCCATAGCCCACACCTGAAAGCTTTTCCTCCCTCATGGAGAGCAGCAGCCAGGGAGGGAAAGGAGGCCATGGGCCTTGTGTCCTGAACAGGTCCCTCTGGGTTTGAAAAAATGGTAAAGATCCTCAGAGCTGCACATGACCCAAATACCATGGGTGAGAGAAGGCAGTGTTGGCACCAACCCAATTCAGATTAGCCGGTAGACAGGAAAAAGAAACTGCAGCAGGAATCTTGGCATAGCTCTGCAGGACAACACATCAGGCTGATCCAATGTACTGTGGTGATTTCGTTATCAGGGAGCATCTTACTGCTGTTCTTGCTATTTTACACTTGCAGTGAGTGGTAACAGAGGCATCCACCAGTTTGTTCATTTTGAGCCCTTTTACTTAAAACTTCAGCCCTAGTGGTGAATTTCCTGAGCCCAGACTACTTTGTGCCCACATTCTCGTGTGTTGTGGTAGGGTAACATCTTTACCCATCCAGTGATTGCCTAGTGATTGCACGAGGCCTTTGTATACTCCACACCTTGTTTCTTTCTCCTCGCCTCACCTAGTCAGAAGGTGCTGACCTATTTGAGAGAGGCTAAAAAAATACAGAAACAGAAGAAAATACACTCTCCAACTCCCATTTATTTTAGTTGGTGGGTCTAGAGCACCTTACAGTTTACAAACTTACAGTTACACCACTGTGACAGTCCCCTCTGGGCCCCTGCCACATCCCACCCACTGGCTGCCAGGCAGCTCTTTCTCCATGCTGCTAGCGGAACCTCTCACCTACTCAGACCAGTCCACTACTCAAATTAGACTCATCAATCCATTTCTCCAGCTTCCTTCAGGCTGAGGGCAGCCTCTGACCTGCTATACCGCCTCTCACCATCTTCCTGGCTTTGTCTCCTTTTAATTGCAAGTAGGTTTGCCAACCCTCCAGGATTGTCCTGGAGTCTCCAGGAATTAAAGATTAATCTTGAATTCAAGATTTCATGTGATGAAA